CGACCCCCAAACGCAATCCACTTAACCGCGAGGCCCCAATCATGTCACTAATCCTATGATATCAGATACTTATTTGCATAGATCTTCACACCTGTATTCTCTGCTAAGAAGTATTTTGGACTTGATGAGCTAGTTACAAAATTCATTGCACATCGTCACATCAACAATGGGCTCGAGACCGACCACAAGTACAGTTTATAAATTAAGCAACTGACATATGTGGAGAGCTAGTGTCACAATTGATATGTTTGTCCTGCACACCGCCCCCCCCCCCCCGCCCCCCCCATCCAGTGGGCAGCGGTGGATACGTTACAATCACTTAGTTACTACCTACAGTTAGCAAAATGGGGCTATTTGGCTAAGATATTTGGTAGCAGATCATTTGGAATGAATTATTTGCACATCTCTAGTACATTTATTTTTAGAATTGTCTCTGAATTCACGTATCTGTTAGCGACCCTGTTCTTCAAGAATTGTTCGAGAACATGTTAATTTTTTTCAGGAATTGATTATTCCAAGAAAATCTCTTCAATGATGAATAGCGCGACCCTCTTTTGAACTCAATTAATGTAATTAATTACATTTGCACAAGATAAATCCTGAGTTCTCAACTATAGTTTGGACTGCAGTAATGATCTAACTACCTTCCCCCTACCCCCCCCCCCACCCACCCCACCCCTCTTCCCCCATTCACAACCCCCCCCCCCCCTCTCGTCCAGGCGAGATGAAATGGAGTTGGGTAATCAGCTTTAAAGATAGAGACCAAATGTTTGTTGAAACCACCACCACCACCACCACCACACTCGATTTTCCTGGCCTCCCTGTGTCTGTTTGTTCCTGGTGGAGCAAGCAAGGCTGCTTGGTGTAGGCTCCACGACCTGGTGTAGGGGTCTCTCTCTCTCTCTCTCTCTCTCTCTCTCTCTCTCTCTCTCTCTCTCTCTCTCTCTCTCTCTCTCTCTCTCTCTCTCTCCTCTCTCTCTCTCTCTCCTTCCCCCCTCATTGTAGCCTCATTACCTCACCATTAACAATGAACTTTTGCAAGTGATTAAGCTTTGCGAGCCGCTTCCCGTGTGTCTATATATGTTTCAGTTATAAAGTAAGCCTATTTGGGGATTCCTTTTTTTTGGGGGGGAGGGGCGGAGGAGAATATGACGATCTCTTGCGATTATAATGAGTTAGATGGGCTACAAAAATGCAAATCTGCCGACTGGAATAGTTTTTTAATAATATTGGTAAATCTGTATTTATACAGCTGCCTTAGACTACGTGTTACACAGTGTGTGTGTCAAGAGCCAGGTGTGTCATATTAAGGTACCTGGACATTTATACACCTGCCCTTGACTATATGAAGGGTTACACAGTGTGTGTCAAGAGCCAGGTGTGTGATACTAAGGTACCTGGACATTTACACACCTGCCCTAGACTATATGAAGGGTTACACAGTGTGTGTCAAGAGCCAGGTGTGTGATACTAAGGTACCTGGACATTTACACACCTGCCCTAGACTATATGAAGGGTTACACAGTGTGTGTCAAGAGCCAGGTGTGTGATACTAAGGTACCTGGACATTTATACACCTGCCCTACACTATATGAAGGGTTACACAGTGTGTCGATACTAAGATAATTCCCATCTCAGCGGATGGTTAGTCATACAAGACCATGTTAAAACACCCATAAGCCCAGTAGTCACACTGACAAGCGCTGAGTGCATCATGAAGATATCCTCAAGAACAGTGGTGTGAATAAAGAAGTCTGTGAGATAATTATCAAGAGCATTCGCTATTCCAATACAACTATATTGCACTTGGAAGGGACCTGGAGCTTGGATATGAGGAGCTGGCATACAACAGTCGAGGATCGAACACCGACCTGCAAGAAGCGAGGCTCCCCACTCTTCTGACCAATCCAAGTGGTTTTATCAAACCAGAAAGACAATGATTTAAAGATCCCCACGTCACAGGAAGTCATAATTTTTTTTTTATTAAGATATGAGGTACATCTACATTAGTGCAGCTACCCTAGACTATATGAAGTGGAGTACAGTGTGTCAAAAAAAAAGCTAACTAGGTGATGCTAAAAAATCCCCATCACACAGGATGGTTAGTCGTTTACCAAAAACTATAAAAGTCTATGGCCTCTGCCCCGAACATTTTATCTCCAGTCACTTCCTGAAATTGGACATGTGGGTTGAGCATCTCCCTTGAAACAAGGGCTATAGGTTCGACCCCCAACACTTCCCCACCTATGACACTCCCCACACACCCACCAGTCCCCTTGCAAGATTTAGTGACCCTGAGGCCAGGAGCACCAGCCTGGCCTCCAACCATGGACAGACAGACATTACAGGTGTAGATATTAAACAAACTATGATAATCGATAACTATATCCATTCAGCTCTTATATTAAACTGTTTACCTTGCAAAGATCTCGAAAAAAATATTTCTTTTAAAAGTTTATGTTAATTTTACTTCAGAAAAAACAAGGTAATTAAATATTTAATCACGAAGGCTGAATCTTGCCGGGAGAGCATCCAGTCCTCAGGTGTGTGGTGATGGGCATCCAGTCCTCAGGTGTGTGGTGACGGGCATCCAGTCCTCAGGTGTGTGGTGACGGGCATCCAGTCCTCAGGTGTGTGGTGACGGGCATCCAGTCCTCAGGTGTGTGGTGACGGGCATCCAGTCCTCAGGTGTGTGGTGACGGGCATCCAGTCCTCAGGTGTGTGGTGACGGGCATCCAGTCCTCAGGTGTGTGGTGACGGGCATCCAGTCCTCAGGTGTGTGGTGACGGCATCCAGTCCTCAGGTGTGTGGTGACGGGCATCCAGTCTTCAGGTGTGTGGTGAACGAAGACTAAAGGATGAACGGAAACATTAGTGTTTTATCAGCAAGGCCGCTCATAGGTCTTATATAACTAACGTAAAGTTTCATAACTTATTCCCTTTAGGGCTTATTTGCTCAGTTGCTTCTCCTCAATAGAGTGAAGGAGTTTCTTTTGTAGGTGGGAGGGAGAGTGTGTGCTGCAGGGAGGGAGAGTATGTGGTGTGGGAGGGAGGGTATGTGATGTGGGAGGGAGAGTATGTGGTGTGGGAGGGAGAGTATGTGGTGTGGGAGGGAGGGAGGGAGGAGATTTAGTGTACCTGTACCACGCCCCCCAGGTAAGTTTACCTGTACCACGCCCCCAGGTAAGTTTACCTGTACCACGCCCCCCAGGTAAGTTTACCTGTACAATGCTCTTACACCGTACAAGAGCTCTCTGACATCAGTACTTTCTCAAACTTTGAACATTGCTTCCAAATCTTCTTTTTGTCAGTTCCTCCTTGAATCTTGCATGTCGTTATCATGTCCTCTCACTTCCTGCTCGTCGCCAGTGTGGCGAGGTTCAGTTTCGTCAGATTGTCTTAGTAGCTCGGGCCTCTTAGCTCAGGAACGACCCTTCTTGTATATCTTATGGTCTTAGATATTTTTAGGTGTAGGGTTCCATGCCGTGGCTGCACATTCAAGAGTCTGTCTCACGTAGGTTGATTATAAGACCTGAAAGGTTCCTTTGTCCAATCTGGAGGGAACTATAAAGCGAAAGCGTCAAGCCATTATGACTATATAGCACTTGGAAGGGATCAGGATAAGGATTGTGGGGATGGGACGGGGGAAAGGAATGGTAGCCAGCTACTTGGATGGTCGGGGATTGAACTCCGACCTGCATGAAGCGAGACCGTCGCGCTACCTTCCAGCCCAAGCTGCTGAAGGTTAGGTTAGGTTAAGTTAGGTTTCTAGTTTGATGTTTACTTCAGTCTGTTAATTATTGTTTGACATTATAATAGATCTACTGCCGGGGTTTTCTCCTTTTCTGCAGCAGCAGTCTGCCAGCTTACATTCTATACTACGTTGTTCTATGTTCTCATAACTTTGCATTTGCCTATGTTGAATTCTATCAGCCATGTTTTCCAGACCGCTTGAGGAGTATGTCAAGATTTTTTTTTAAGGTATCATAGTGATTCTGTCGTGATTCCGTATAATTACTTTTTCATTCTCATTAGGAGGAGTCGAGTTCTACCTCCTGAGCTCCGCCTTAGCACGCGTTGGTTGTCTAGCGGAGGTTATCTTGAGATCTTGAGGTTATCTTGAGATGATTTCGGGGCTTAGCGTCCCCGCGGCCCGGTCCTCGACCAGGTCTCCTTTTTTGTTACACATCCCCAGGAAGCAGCCCGTAGCAGCTGTCTAACTCCCAGGTACCTATTTACTGCTAGGTGAACAGGGGGCATCAGGGTGAAAGAAACTCTGCCCATTTGGTCCCGCCTCCACCGGGGATCGAACCCGGAACCTCAGGACTACGAATCCCGAGCGCTGTTCACTCAGCCGTCAGGCCCAGTCTTATTTCCATTCTATCTATTTCAGGTCCAAACCTCCAGTCTATTTTTGTGTTATTTTCAATCTTCTAAACTAAGACAAGGCTTCGTTACTCTCTCCTTCCCTTCCGTCATTCTTTTCCTCACCGCTTCCTTCCCCTTACACGGAGTGGAAGCGCTCCATGTATGGCTCCAGTTCCAGACTTGTGGAGGATTTATCGCAGTCCTGGGAACCGGTTCATGGCTTCTCTCTGACCCCTCACTCCACTACACTCATCATCTTTTTGGCAAGGGGGACCTCATTTCCTCCTTCCCCTCGGTCATTGGTCACTTAATCTCTTCCTCGCATCGTCTCCTTCATCCCCTTCTCTCTCTCCCCTTCCTTCCTGCATTCCTTGGTCTCTCGCTGCTTTCATCCAGGCATGTCGCGTGCGGTTATTGCCTCCCTGCTCCTCATGGCTTGACCACTCAGGGGCAGGGAACACTGTCTTCTCACCTCACTATTCCTGCCTCATTGTTCTCATGATTCTTCGTGTTATCTTTTCCCTGTATCGGTTGATATTGTACTGTTCTTCTCTACCTCATGATCTCTCATTACCCTCTCCTGTGCTGCCCTCTACAGTGACCACCAGCTGGGGTCCCGGTCCTGCCCTCTACAGTGACCACCAGCTGGGGCCCCACAGCTCCTGTGCTGCCCTCTACAGTGACCACCAGCTGGGGCCCCACAGCTCCTGTGCTGCCCTTTACAGTGACCACCAGCTGGGGCTCCACAGCTCCTGTGCTGCCCTTTACAGTGACCACCAGCTGGGGCCCCACAGCTCCTGTGCTGCCCTTTACAGTGACCACCAGCTGGGGCTCCACAGCTCCTGTGCTGCCCTCTACAGTGACCACCAGCTGGGGCCCCACAGCTCCTGTGCTGCCCTCTACAGTGACCACCAGCTGGGGCCCCACAGCTCCTGTGCTGCCCTCTACAGTGACCACCAGCTGGGGCCCCACAGCTCCTGTGCTGCCCTCTACAGTGACCACCAGCTGGGGCCCCACAGCTCCTGTGCTGCCCTCTACAGTGACCACCAGCTGGGGCTCCACAGCTCCTGTGCTGCCCTCTACAGTGACCACCAGCTGGGGCCCCACAGCTCCTGTGCTGCCCTTTACAGTGACCACCAGCTGGGGCCCCACAGCTCCTGTGCTGCCCTCTACAGTGACCACCAGCTGGGGCCCCACAGCTCCTGTGCTGCCCTCTACAGTGACCACCAGCTGGGGCCCCACAGCTCCTGTGCTGCCCTTTACAGTGACCACCAGCTGGGGCCCCACAGCTCCTGTGCTGCCCTTTACAGTGACCACCAGCTGGGGCCCCACAGCTCCTGTGCTGCCCTCTACAGTGACCACCAGCTGGGGCCCCACAGCTCCTGTGCTGCCCTTTACAGTGACCACCAGCTGGGGCCCCACAGCCCCTGTGCTGGCCTCTACAGTGACCACCAGCTGGGGCCCCACAGCTCCTGTGCTGCCCTTTACAGTGACCACCAGCTGGGGCCCCACAGCCCCTGTGCTGCCCTCTACAGTGACCACCAGCTGGGGCCCCGGTCCTGCCCTCTACAGTGACCAGTTATGGACCCCACATCAATTACTGGCTGCCCTTCCTCTCTCCCCGGCCTGGCCCTCGTTATTCAGCTTCCTCCCTCTCTCCTCTGTCCACTCCTTGGTCAATATTCCCCACGAATATCCTTCATCGTTTCCAAATGTTTCTCCTGATTCTTCTTAGCATATATATATATAGTCCAGGGAACTATATATATATATATATATATATATATATATATATATATATATATATATATATATATATATATATATATATATGATGGGAACATGCTTGAATGGTCCCCCAAGCCAATATGCAACTGAAAACTCAGTCGTACTCGACTGAGTACAGTCGTGTGATCTAGTGGTTAAGGTACCAGGTACGCCAAGGTGCATAGTGCTCCTTGTACATATATATATATATATATATATATATATATATATATATATATATATATATATATAAACGAAAGTAGAAATAGGTACTATTGAATTTTGACAAACTGGAAAAGATTTTGTATTTATGTTCCAAAGACAACCTAGTTAACCTTCCTAGGCCTAATACAGGCTATCTCAGGCCTATATACAATATAGTACATATATGTATTATACTAGGCCTAGAATATTTAATTTCTTTTTTTAGCTTCACTTTTTCCTGCTATAAAGTGAATCGTACTAAATTCTACTATCTTATTGACGTTTACGTCAATGTATGTACTATAGTCCACATAGTTACAAAAAGTACTATCTATAAACAGGATAAGGAAGGGAACTATCAGAGGAAAGCGCCAAGCCATTACGACTATATAGCACTTGGAAGGAGTCAGGATAAGGATTTGGGATGGGACGGGGGGAAGGAATGGTTCCCAATCAATTGGACGATCGGGGGATTGAACGCCGACCTGCATGAAGCGAGACCGTCGCTCTACCGTCCAGCAATAAATATAATGTACAGTATGTGTACGTGTATGGACCCCTAGCCTCGGAGAAGCGAATAAACGGCATTCAGAGAAGACCTTGCAGGCTCTCTTCTCAAATTATTAATACCCGGTGCACAGGTTCGATCCCTCGCCAGGGCTCCTGTTTGATTCGTTCCTTAATTAATATTTTTCACAGCCCCAAAAAATGGTTTTACAATTTACAAGCTAGTAAATGTCGACGTAAATCGTTCTGTTGATTATATATACAATATAATTCGCGACCAACCTCATTGCTGTGGGGCAGAGGACTCCCCTGAAGAAACGCATGCACCAACAGCACAGTTGATCAGATGTAGCACCGCCAGGCGGGGCATTAAAGTGCTTTCCAACACTTAGTTATCACTGTTGTGGGGGAGGCTGGCACTGTTCCCGCAACAGTGCCAGCAACACATTGGTCTCTGCCTCAACACTACGATATGCAACCCACAACAGCCAGCTTGCTCCTCAGATCACTGCAACACTGCAACGGAGCGTCGTTCAGTGCCGCAGCGTCGTTCTCACCAGAGTCGTTCTCACCAAACACCAGCGGCGTCACCAGGTTCAATATCAGATACTCGAGACTTTAAACTCAAGTTGGCTCAGCAAAGATAACTTCCTCCTCAGCGTCTATAACCTCTTTAACCTGAGAGTTACAATTTTCAATCTAAGAGCGATTGCGTTCTCGTCTCCTGCTCATCATCTGACTCTCTTTATAAACGAGCCTTTAGCTGCAGTCTGGCTGATTAGGGTAGGCACTTAGGGCTGAACTTGACAGTTCTGGGGTGACAGGTGTCGTGGGAGGGTAATATGGCTCTTCTTGCGTCTTGGGGTGATGTCTTGCGTCTTGGGGTGATGTCTTGCGTCTTGGGGTGATGTCTTGCGTCTTGGGGTGATGTCTTGCGTCTTCGGGGTGATGCCTTGCGTCTTTGGGGGGATGTCTTGCGTCTTTGGGGGGATATCTTGCGTCTTGGGGTGATGCCTTGCGTCATGGGGTGATGCCTTGCGTCATGGGGTGATGCCTTGCGTCTTGGGGTGATGTCTTGCGTCTTGGGGTGATGTCTTGCGTCTTCGGGGTGATGTCTTGCGTCTTCGGGGTGATGCCTTGCGTCTTTGGGGGATATCTTGCGTCTTGGGGTGATGCCTTGCGTCATGGGGTGATGCCTTGCGTCATGGGGTGATGCCTTGCGTCTTGGGGTGATGCCTTGCGTCTTGGGGTGATGTCTTGCGTCTTCGGGGTGATGCCTTGCGTCTTTGGGGGGATGTCTTGCGTCTTTGGGGGGATATCTTGCGTCTTGGGGTGATGCCTTGCGTCATGGGGTGATGCCTTGCGTCATGGGGTGATGCCTTGCGTCTTGGGGGTGATGCTTTGTGTCTTGAGGTGATGCCTTGCGTCTTGGGGGTGATGCCTTGCGTCTTGGGGTGATATCTTGCGTCTTGGGGTGATATCTTGCGTCTTGGGGTGATGCCTTGCGTCTTTGGGTGATATCTTGCGTCTTTGGGTGATATCTTGCGTCTTTGGGTGATATCTTGCGTCTTGGGGGGTGATGTCTTACGTCTTGCGGGGTGATGTCTTGCGTCTTGCGGGGTGATACCTTGCGTCTAGAGGGTGATGCCTTGCGTCTTGAGGGTGACGTCCAATCAAGTCTTGCGTCTTGAGTGTAACACCTCACGTCTCAAGTGTGTCGCCCCAGCAAGCACAGAGAAACTTCCTACCACCACCTCTCAACATTCCTCTCATCTGTACAAACATTTACAACTTGACAGCCTCTAAAATCATGCACAAACATCAATAACCCAACGTTGACATCTCTTGAATCGAAGAGACATGGAAGAACTTGCCGTATGATACTTTAGTATAATAATCCTTGTTTACAGATTGGAGGATCGTTTGTCGTCCAATCGCAGCCAACAACGTGCCATCGAGAGGCCCTCGTAAACAACCTGTTCTGGGTTTAATGGTTTGTTGTTGTTGGATTTTGGTACTATGTAGCCATAGCGCCATATGTGGTAATACATATCGTACCATGTGGCAATATGTATCTGTTCATTGTAATTTGTGTGTTTGAACGCTCACTAGATGTTACATAAGATGTTACATAAACAATGACACCCTCTCCTTGTATACAGGACCCCTGTAGTGTGTTGATGTGTATACACAGGATCACTGTAGTACAGATGTGTACTCACCTAGTACAACCAGGTGAGTACAGGCAGTGTTGGTGTAGGTGAGAATAAAATACGTTACAGTAATGACAAATGTGGAACTCCCGTGGCGAGAGTTGAGTGTGTATCAGAGAGAGAGTGTTCCCAATACCTCTATGCTTCTCATCCCAAGTTACTGGGCACTATGCTTTGTCACTGTCCCGCCGGGCCGCGCGCTCTCACATGTTGGGTTGTGATTGTGTCTTTGGGGGAAAGAATGCACGCACGCACACGCACGCACACATACAGGTGGAAGGTTTACAGGTGGAAACTTAGTACCCAGATGAGCCCCACAGACGTTAGAAAGAATTTTTTCAGTGTCAGAGTAGTTAATAAATGGAATGCACTAGGAAGTGATGTGGTGGAGGCTGACTCCATACACAGTTTCAAATGTAGATATGATAGAGCCCAGTAGGCTCAGGAATCTGTACACCAGTTGATTGACAGTTGAGAAGCGGGACCAAAGAGACAAAACTCAACCCCCGCAAGCACAATTAGGTTAATACAATTAGGTGAGTACACACACTTACGCTAAAAGAAAGCTTTCTAACATGTATATGAATCATGTGAGTCTTAAGCTCTCCATTCAAGCTTTCTTGTTTTGTTGATATCGTGAACATTTCCTCATTTTCCGTTGTCAATCCCCTTAAGTATTGCTTGTATCATGCCACGGCCCTCCCGCCCTCTCTCCTATTGTCTAGTGTCGTCAGGTTTAGTTCTTTCAGTCTCTCTTCATATCTCATCCCTCATAGTTCTGCGACGAACCTCGTCGGCAAACTTGTGAACATTTTCCAGTTTCCTTATGCATTTTTTCCGATGGGGACTCCAGGATGGGGCGACATACTCTAAAAGAGATCTCACACAGATGGTATACAGTGATCTAATGGCTTTGTTATTTAGCTTTCTGAATGATGTTCTAACTTTTGCTAGCGAGGAGTCCGCTGCTGATGTTATCCTGTTTACATGTGCCTCCGGAGTTAGGTTTGGTATTATGTCCACTCCCAGGTCTTTTTCTCGAATCGTTACAAGGTTGGGGGGTGGGGGGGGGGGTAGTTTCCCTTCATTGTGTGTTGTCTGTTTAGTTTCCTGTCATCTTCCATCAACTTACACTTGCTTGTGTGTGTGTGTGTGTGTGTGTGTGTGTGTGTGTGCGTGTGTGTGTGTGTGTGTGTGTGGGTGTGTGGGTGTGTTTCTGTGCGCGCACTAATTGAATATCTCAGCTGTTCAAAATTCACTTCATCAAAGTACATCGTCAACTTTTCATGGGCCTGACGCGTTTCGTAACAAACATCGGAGAGATAAAGTTTCAACTTTCTTCACAAGTGAAAAACACCGTAAGAAATATAGAAAAGATTCATGTCAGAATCACTGATATCATCCCTTCCATCATGTTCAGTAACACAGATACAGTATTCATAATTGTTGGACACGACGTTGATGCAGCATCCTTCAGAGAGAGAGAGAGAGAGAGAGAGAGAGAAAGACTGAGAGAGTTAGAGAGAAAGAGAGAGGGAATGAAAGGTAGACTGAGAGATAGAGAGTTAGAGAGAAAGAGAATGAAAGAGTGAGAGAGCCAGGGAGAAAGACAGAATGAAAGACTGAGAGAGTTAGAGAGGGAATGAAAGACTGAGAAAGTTAAAGAGAGAGGGAATGAAAGGTAGACTGAGAAAATGTGTGAGAGAGAGAGAGAGAGAGAGAGAGAGAGAGAGAGAGAGAGAGAGAGAGAGAGAGAGAGAGAGAGAGAGAGAGAGAGAGAGAGAGAGAGAGAGAGAATGAAAGACTGAGAGAATTAAAGAGACAGAGAGAGAGAGAGAGAGAGAGAGAGAGAGAGAGAGAGAGAGAGAGGGAGGG